GGAGATGTAGGTCCATGGTTGGAGATGCTAGATGGTTGGAGATGTGGATAGATGGATGGAAGGATGGATGGATGGAGGGATGGAGGGATGGATGGAAGGATGGATGGGTGGAGGGGAGGTGGGAGATGGATGGATGGATGGATGGATGGATGGATGGATGGATGGATGGATGGATGGATGGATGGATGGATGGATGGATGGATGGATGGATGGATGGATGGATGGATGGATGGATGGATGGATGGATGGATGGATGGATGGATGGATGGATGGATGGATGGATGGATGGATGGATGGATGGATGGATGGATGGATGGATGGATGGATGGATGGATGGATGGATGGATGGATGGATGGAGAAGCTAGATGACAGAAGGCTAGATGGAGACACGGCTGGATGAAGACATGCTTGGATGGAGAAGTGAGTAGGTAGATGCTAGATAGATCCTTAGTTCACCCTCTGGAGAAGGAGGAGAAGAGTGAAGACCAAAGCAGAGCCACGTGACAGGCTGAGGGACAGGACACACCACCCCTGGGCAGAGCCATGCAGGAGACCTTCCCTCACCCACCTGTGGAGACAAAAATGTTGGCCACGATGACCAACCCTGCCAGGAACAAGGCCACCATGAGCGACAGGCGGCGACCGACGTAGCTGAGGGACACAGTCACCACCACCTTGGCCGGGAAGTCGACGGCCCCGAAGATGACCTGAATGAGGTAAATGCTGACCCCAAAGTTCTGCAGGTCCATGGCCAAACCATAGTAGGAGAAGCTGATGGAGAACCTGGAGTTGGGGCAGAAGAGGAGACACCTTGAGGTGGAGGGACCTCCCTGGTCAGGGAGGAGGAGAAGGGTGAGGTGTGCTTGATTGGCTGTTTGTCCAGTCTTCCACTCTCGGTAGGTGTGACCAGGTGTCCAAGAAGCTGTGGAGATGCCCTTCCTTCTGTCCTGCCAATCATCTGAGCAGCCATCACTCAAACTGCCATCCAATCATCCATCAAACCATCCGTCAAACCATCCGTTCAACCATCCAAACTTCATCCAAGCATCCAAACTTCATCCAAACATCATCCAACCATCCATCCAACCATCTGTCCATCCATCCATCCAACCATCCATCCATCCATCCAAACTTCATCCAAACATCATCCAACTATCCACCAAACCACCCATCCATCCAACCATCCAACCATCTGTCCATCCATCCATCCAACCATCCATCAAACCATCCATCAAACCATCAGTCCATCCATCCATCAAACCATCTGTCCATCCATCCATCCAACCATCCAAACTTCATCCAACCATCCATCAAACCATCCATCCAACCATCCAAACTTCATCCAAACATCATCCAACCATCCATCAAACCATCTGTCCATCCATCCATCCAACCATCCAAACTTCATCCAACTATCCGCCAAATCATCTGTCCATCCAACCATCCAACCATCCATCAAACCATCTGTTCAACCATCCATCAAACCATCCAAACATCATCCAAACATCATCCAACCATCCATCAAACCATCTGTCCATCCATCCATCCATCCATCCATCCATCCATCCATCCATCCCTCCATCATCTGTCCTACTATCCATCCAACCATCTGTCAAATCATCCATCCTTCATCCAAACATCCATCCAACCATCTGTCCAACCTTCAGCCAATCATCCATCCTTCAACCATCCACTCCATCATCCATCCATTGCTCCACCCAACTCTCCACCCACCTCTCCATCCCTCCCCCCTTCCCTCCTCCTCCCTCTCCTCCAGCCTCACCAGACAATGGAGAGGCAGAAGAAGATATGCCGGATGACCGGAGTCCGCACCAGATCCGAGATGGTGTAGGAGGACTTCAAAGCAGCCAACTCCTCCTTCATGTTGGACTTGAGGATCTGGAAGAGGAGAGAGAGGTTGGCAAACCTTCAAACCACCACCACCACCACCACAGACCCCCCATACCTCCACCGTGATCTTCTCCCCTTCCTCCTTCCTCTTGTTGATGGTGGCCACGCGTTGGAGAACCTTCACGGCCCTCTCGGCCTTCCCGGAGAGCACCAACCACCGCGCGGACTCGGCCAACCACCTACAGCCAACCGAGGGGACCTGAGGCTTGGGGACCCTGGCCCAGCCCCAGGGGAGCCCAAGGGACATGGAGGTCCTACCAGGAGTAGAGGAGGAAGACGAAGAAGGGCAGAGAGACGGAGAGCTGGAGCCAGCGCCAGTGGGGGACGGCGTAGGCCACCCCGGCCAGGATGATCTGGCCCAGGGTGTAGGCGAAGCCGGTGATGGCCACGGTGATGGCTCGGTAGGGCGTGGGGATCCACTCCACCACTGCAAGGGACAGGGACCACGGTTGACTTGGTGTCCCCTCCCATGTGGCCTCTGCTCCGTGGTGAGGTGGTTTCCCCATCATGGCCAGAGATGTGTCTGCACCATGAAGATTCATGGCCATGGGGATATCTTCACTTATGGCCATTGGGTTGTGCCCATCCATGGTCATTGGGACATCTCCACCCATGACCATTGGGACATCTCCACCCATGGCCATTGGGACATCTCTCTCCATGGTCATTGGGTTGTGCCCACCCATGGCCATTGGGTTGTCCCCATCTATGGCCATTGGGACATCTCCATCCATG